TTTATTTGTTCACGCATATGTTAAGCTGAGCGTAACGGACAGAAAGTCTCATCCGCCGACGACAATTCATTCGCTGTGTAAAAATTATACATTGCTGCGTTGATTATGATTCGAATGATGATTTGGATGTTGATGACGAATTTGTTGGTGATGACTGAAAGCTTGTTGATGTAGTTTGTTAATCATGCGGATGACGATGAAGATGGTGATCATGATGACGATGATGTTGATGATGAGGATGATGATGATGTCGATGTGGATGATGATGAAGATACCGATGATGATGATGATGATGATGATAATGTTGATCGTGATGTTGATGATGCAGAATAAATGGAGTTTAATGATGATGATAATGAATATGATGAAGATGATGATGTTGATGATTTTGATAATGATTCGTTTGATGACTTTGATTATAATGATGATGATGAATGTGAGGATTCTCAGCGTGATGATGCTGATATTGATCAACTTGTTGATGTTCATAACAATGATGATCAGGAGAATGTTGAAGATGTTCATATTGATGATGACGATTCGGATGCGAATGATGATGACGTGTATGATGGTGGTTCCGATTTTGATGAATGGTGATGACGATGATGAGGCTGATTCACATGATGAACACTATGATGGATTTGATGATGTCGGTGAGGATTTTGATCAGAACGATGGTGAACATGTTTCGGAGGATGATGTTCCGGATGACGATGACGCGGATCTATCCGATGGAAATGATGATAATGAAGATGGTGATGATGATGATGGTGAAAACGACGATGATGATGATAAAAATGATGAATACGATGTTTGTTTGGATTGGGATAATGATACGGATGGTGACGGTATTAGAGATTAAGATGATCCTACGTATGATGATGATAAGTCGGATGATGACGATGACGATAATGATGATGGTGTTGATCACAGAGTTGCTGATGAGGATGATTCGGTTCATGATGATGATGATGATGATGCTGAAACTGATGAGGACGATAATGATGATTCGAATAATGATGATGTTCTGCATGATGATGATCATGATGATGAAGAGGAAGATGATCATCATGATAAGAAAATGTTGACGGTGATGCTGATGAACAATTGATGATAATGTTCATGATTCGGATGATGAAGTCAGGGATGAGGTTTACGAAATCTATGATGATGATGATGATTATGATGATGATGATGCGGACGGAAATTATCAGGATTCCGATGACGATGATCAAAAGTTGGATGATGAGTAAGTAGGTAACTGATGATGATTAAGATTTTGATGATTTTGATGATGTTGGTGATGATGCGGATGACGATAATGCTGATCATGATGATGATGATTATACAATTCGGATGAAGATGATGATGATGATGAATCGGATATATGATAATGGTGATGATGATTATGATTCGGATATTGATGATGATGATGATGATGATGATGATGATGATGATGATGAGGATGATGATGATTCGGATGATGATGATTCGGATGATGATGATGATTCGTATTCGGATGATGATGATGATGATGATGATGATGATGATGATGATGATGATGATGATGATGGTGACGATGATTCGGATGATGATGATGATGATAATCATGATGGTGGTCATGAGCACGCTCATGAAGATGATTATGAAGAGGATGTTGATAATTTGGTTGACGATGGTGATGTTGACTACGAATATTCGGATAATGATTTTGTTGATGAAGGTGTCATCGAGGCTGATGATTCGGATTATGACGATGATGATGACGAATATGATAATCTTGTTGTTGATGTTTATGATGATGATGATGATAATAATGATTGGGATGATGATGATCAGGGTGGCCATGATTTTGATGAATATGAGTCGAATGACGGAGATGATGACCAGCATGATCCGAATTATTAGGTTGAGCTTGCGATGAGGACGTTTATGAAAATGATGATGATGATAATGATGATGATGTTGATGATGTTGATGATTCGAATTATTCGGATGATGATTATAATGTTGATGATACTGATTATTTGAATGACGATCATTACATTGATGAAGATATTGGCAATGATTATTCGGTTCTTCATGATGATGAAGATAAAGATGATGATCATTGTGTTTCTGATGGTGATGTTGTTGTTGATGATGATGATTCGGATGATTTTAATGAGGATGATGACGATAATAATGATCATTCCGATGTCGATGATAGTCATGAAAATGTTGATTATTCGGATGACGATGAAAATGACGATGATGATGGCGAACATGATGATGATGAGGAGATGATATGGATGACGATGATGATGATGAAGATGATGATGTTGATGATGTTTCGGCTAATGATGCCGATGACGGTTATGATGTTTCGGATGATGACGATGATGATCATTATGATGATGATGATTCGGATGATGCTGACGATAATGATGACGATGAAGATTCGATCGATCAGGATGATGATGAACATGATGATTCGATTATGACTGTGAAGATCATAATAATGACAATTATGATGAACAGGGTGATGATGCTGATGTTGGTGATGATGATACTGATGATACTGATGAAGTTATTGTGGACTCGGTTGATGATAATGACAAAGATGGTATTTATCTTTTTGGTGATGACAGGAATGATCATCATGATCATGAACGTGATGATGATGACAATGTTGGTGATAATGATGATGATGAAGATGATGTTATTGATGATGATGATGGTGATGCTGGTAATGGTGATAATGATGTTGATATTGATTTCGATGATGATGATGATTATGATGATGATGATGATGATCATCATCATCATGGTGGTGATGTTTCATATTTCGATTCGTATAATAATGATGATGAAGATAATGTTGATGAAGTTAATGATGAATCATATGATAGTGTTGATGGTGATGATGATGGTTATGATGTTGATGAGGATGATGATGATGATGTTGACGTTTTAGTGATGATGATGTTGATGTCGATGATAATCATGATGATGATGATGATGATGCTAATGAAGATGATGCTGATGTTGATGATGGTGATGTTTCGGATGATGATCCATATAATGATGTTGATGATGATGATGTTTGTCTCGTTGCGAATAAGAGAAATTGGTCCATTTCGTCGCCTTTTTCGTCGACTATTTCGATTAGATGCAATAATTGTTGCTCACATTAGCACTTAAGCATCTAGCGGATTATTATGACCGGTTATTTGAGC